TTTGTGCATATATTTGTCCTTCTAGAACTAACTAAACAGGGCTATGAATTATGCCTAAAAAGATGCCACTGAGATAAAAAACTTATAAAATAGTAATGGAATATGGAATTTTATATAATGCCAACAACTTTAGCATGATTCTTGGCATAAGCAATTTAGTGCAATTTCATTTGTCTGAACCAGAATGATATTACAAAGTGAATTAATAGAACATTAGTACTGAAAAAAAGAAACACTTCTTCCTTTGAAATATGAAGTGCCACTAACTTGAAATGAAACCTGAAAGTCAGTGAATAATATATGGGAAATATTAATATTTTAAATGTATCATATTTAAAATTGCTGTGAACTTAAACAAGGTTTCATATCAAGAAAAAACAAGTAATTCATTTTAGGTGCCAATTTTATATGCAACGTTTTACAAATGAAGCAATTCACTAAAGAAGTGAAGTCAGGTATGTAAGCATATTTTGTTATTTTGCACATGAAATACGGTCATTATGGAATATGAATTTAATTTGGGAAATGATAAAAAAGAACATTTATTTTATTTTTCTACTGTGCTGCAAGGAAAACATTTTTAAGTAGCTGATTAATGAGATGAAATGAACTGATACGGCCCATAATACCTGCATGGGCTTTTATACCTCGTGAAACCGCACCACAACGGGACCTTTATAAAAAGTATGAAGTCAGGTAATGCAATCATATTTTAAATGCAGAATGGGAGTTGATAACGATTCAGCTTGATGCTGTAAAAAGCGAGCCCTCTGGCACTTGGCATTACATTATTTAAAAATTACTTCTGCAAGGAAAGTTAGTAGAAAGATTGTAGCAGGGTTGAATCCCAGCACTAAGGCTCAGGGGCAAATCGTGGTGCTACCACTTGCCTTGCTGCTGGTTTTACTAGGGAGCCAGTGTAGCCCTTAGTCCTCCTGACTCCTTAGGACAAGGTCTACTGACTCCAGTGTTTCATTGCCCTGCTCCAGCTGACAGTGACAGGTCAGCCTCTGGAAACCAAACCTTGTGCTCCTTAAGATGAGCCAAATCCTGCTTGTCCCGTTCATTGAAGCCACCTGGAGTTTTGTCTCATTGGAATGAGCAGGATCTGGCCCTTAGTCCACTCCCTGGTGTCTCCAGTGCATGTTAATATCACTGGAGGGATTATTTTTTGCATTTATTTGATGTGGATGGAGTTAGGTCTGAGGGCTGCGTTGACCTTGACTTTACACCTAAGCCATTTAAGGGTTTAGATCCTACCCATTTTGGCTCTGGTGAACTAGGCCAGCAATAATTGCAGTTGCTACGTATGATACATAGGTTACGCGTGACTGGACATTTTGAACAGTTGGGCAAAAAATGTGTCTTTGCACTGATGGAAAGGGCTGTATGTCTACGAGCTTAGTGAAAAGGGCAGTTGCATGTTCTGGGAAAGACTCAGGCTGTCATGAGAACTGTATGCACTTAGGAACTGCCTTGGCGGAGGACAGCAAAAGTCTGGTTAGTCCATAACCTGGGTCCCACCAGAAGCCAGTCACAGGTGCCACACAAGAAGGCAGGTTGTTGGTGGTGGGAAGGGGACACGCTTGTCACCTGCCACACAGCAGATCTCTTCCTGGCCACTTCTGCCCAAAGCCCTGAGACATTTGCTATGCTTCCCCCAGTTATCTCCCATTAATTTCAGTAGCTTACATTTTCATCACAAATACCTAGTGTCCTTCTGAAACTCACTACAGATATTTTAAATTCAGAATAACTGTGATGGGGAAAAAACCCCCACGCTTTTCCTTTTTAAACTGTTTTACCATTTTATCACAATTTGTTTAAATATACATTTCTCTGCTGTGAAATAACATTTCTTTCCACGTTTATACCCATATGCACAATGCTAACTCATAGCAGAAACAACATTTTAAAACACTGTGTCATGCTTATAGGATAATTATTAATCTTGTCAGAATAAAAAGCATACTAAAAGTACTCCATACAAAGGTTTGTGCCGTAACGTTTTTGAAAGTTTTTTTTTTAAGTAATCAGAGATGTCATAACAGAGGGAGAAACTATACGATATATAGCACGTAGTAAAAGCAGATGACTCCTACAGGACTATTTAGAAATATACAAAGATTATTTTTTCTCCTTTTGGTTAGCAGACTACTTGATGAAAAGGTATGTTTTTATTTTTATTCCTGCTTGTGTCTTACAGTTCTATGAAGATGATGTGAAACTACAAATTCCAAATTTTAGTAGCTATAAATGATATAAAAATAAGGAAGAGAAATGTTCATGATATGTATCTGGAGGGATAAATACACAATAATCATGCAATCTGATAGCAGAAGGAATAACTGTTTGACAATAAAACCAGTGCTAAATACAAACGGAATAATATTGTTTTAGTGAGAAATACAGCAAAAAAAATGATACAAAAAAAGCGCCACATTTGGAACTCTATGTTTAGATCTTTTCTAGTTGAATGTTCATTTTTAATGTTTTGTGACCACCAAGATACAGTTAGCAAACAAGTTAGTCAAAACTTCTCTGTCTTGATTTTCGTATCCCACATCTACAAATCCCCAAAAAACCCTGCTGCAACCCCACTTAAAGTTAGGAAGGTGGCTTTGTTGTTTGTTGCTTGGGTTTTGCTTGAGACCTTATTTTGCGTACTCTGACTCGTGTGCTGAAATTGCTGGGGCGTGTGAGCAGTGCTTGTAGGGTTGTCTCCTTATTTTGTGCAGGATGGCCAGTTTTTCATACGGGGGGTTCATACAGGCACAGGAAAGGGGTACTGCAGGAAAGTACCCCTCTTCAAGGGCATTGGGTATTTACACCTTCATTTATGAGAACCATGAATACTCAGTAATTTTTTTAAAAAAGCGCCCACTTTTCTGTAGAAAGTCACATGTAGACATAGAAATCTGACTTCTGGTATCTCTGGCTGAAAAAAAAAAGGGTAAAATGCTATAGCTGAAAATTTCTAGTTTTATCTTTGTATTGGTTTAACATCAGCCCTACAGATAGAAAACACAAACCTACCTTTCCCCATGTGATAACTCTTTGCGTTGTCTTTTCCTTCAGAGAGATAGGAGAAATGATTAAACCAATACTGCCCTGAAAAAAGGAGACATCACTAATAGAAATGATTGTTCATTACTCAATTAAGAAAATAAGTCTGAAACCTGAATAGGGTGAATTATTTTAAATGCTGATATTCTGACTTTCTGAAAATAGGATCTTAGTACTGAACTCTTCCAGGTATTTCTTATGACTGTTTGGAAAGAATAAGGTACAAATTTTAAAGACCTGTTGGAGGGACAGCTTTCTGCATCATGACATGCTGAGACATAAGGAAAACATAGCAAATGCTTTGAGGAGCAGCCAGTGGCTGGGGAGAGGAGATTGTGTCGCAGACACCTGTGTGCCAGTGAACCCCATAGCAGGTTACATGCACCTGGGGTTATGGGCTCTTCTTCAGAGGATGGGAAGCAGGAGAACCAAAAGCCATGACTGATTACCAGTGAAAGTCCCCTCAGTGCAGCAGCATCAAGTTTTGGGACCAATTTTGGCTGAATGGTGTCAAGCTGAAAATGAGAAAGGGGCCCAATCCAAAGCTCTGTGCAACCCTGGCGCCCATACTCGGGGAATAATTTCTTTGTCTGCAAATGGTGGGTGAAGCCATGACCCTCCTCCCAGCACAACCGGGGACAAGTCAGCACCACGACCCCTGGGCAGGAGCCGAGGTCCCCGGGGTGGGAGTGGTGCCCTTCTTTGTTGTGCCTAGCACATAAGGATGGGGCTCCCCTCTGCATCCTGGACCCTACTTCACTCTTTCGTTTCATCTCTAACCACGCCGCTAGGTTTTTGTTTTATTTTAAATCCTGGATTCGCCTAGAAATGATTGGGCTGTGCTCAGCACCGGCTGTCTTGATAGGTTCGAAAATCCTGGGAAACCTCAATACTGGCATTTTATAAACACAGTAAGCAAAGCACACTGGAATATTAATGGATGAAACACATTTTAAAGGGGCACCATCACTTTGTAATTTTGCCTGTTAAAATATATCAGCTAGGGGCAGTTTGGGAGAGTTGCAGCAAAGCCACAAGTGTTCTTCACAATTTAAAGCTTCTGCATTTTATTTTTTTTTTCCCTACTGTAAAAGCTCCCTAGAGACAATGGGGGCTGTGACACTGAGGAACAGGTTATCCTAACTGCGCAGGGAGCACCATAAAAACCACAAAATGGACACATGGAATAAAATACCCTCACACCCCCCCACCCTCTTTCCCAGTTTCTCTAATTTCTGGTGCTTATGGTAGTTTTGTTAAATCAGCAGTGGGTTAAAAGGAAAAAAAAAAACCAAAACAACCCATAAATAAAAATATGGTCCCTAAACTGACAGAGCCTCTTTAAATTTGCTTGAAGAACCATCTCAGAAAAAAAAAAAAAGGACAAAAAAAGAGACATACTACACTGTTCTGGATATTATTTGTTTAAATGCAAATTTATGGAGCTGGCCACACACCAAAAATTGGAGAGTTTGGTACTGCAGTTGCTTTGGTGTATTTTTTCAGCATTGTAATGGGCTACAGGGAGACAAAGGAGAATATGAATATATGGCAGTTGATATTTAGATTTGGGTGACATTTTTGCTTGTTGTAACTGTCATTTTAAAAAATCCATTTTACTTCTATCATGCTATTGAATCGCAGCAGACATTGATATAGAAAAGCTGGAATTATTTAATAACCAAAATTAGGAGTGATTTTTATACTGTATTTCTCATTACCAACATCTCGACTGATGAGGAATCCTGAGGTTCAGGCTAAACTTGCCCATGAGGTAGAATGGGCTGTTAAAGAGTGAGATGATAGATGGACCTCTTCCTCACCCCTCCCAAACCAGTTTCTTTATAAGGCAGTAGAAAGCAAACCCTTTCAGAGATCTTTGAAAAGCAAGCTCAAGCATGACACTACTATCACACCTTTCATGGTATTTTTTTTCAGGACTCTGCCCCCGATTTTAGTCCAAAGGAGCTGCTTTTGGGAATTGCATGTCTGGCTCCAGTGTTTGCCTGCTGAGGAAGAGGTATGCCCTTTGTCCCTCACCTGCAGATGGCTTGGATGCTTTTACTTTTCTGAGGCGAGCACTTCCCAGTGGGCTGCATTCAGAAAGTGCTTTTCATAGCATTAGTACAGAACCAAGTTACAAAAGAATATTAATCTAATACATTCCAAAATTCAAATATGTGTGATTAATAAGCATTATTATCTATAAATAAGGCTCTAATGATACTTTGGCAGTGTTGTAAACACAAGAATCAGAAGCAATTATTGTCATTATTGTTCTGCAAGTACTTTCCATGAATACCAAATGGTTATTACTGTCCAGCTCCTTGGCACATAGAAATCCTGTAAAGAAACAGTTGTCAGTCAGTAAGGTCTGGCCAGTTGCTGTTAACTACGTTTGTCTAAAATACAGCGTACCTAAGGACAAAGCCTGCAAGTTATTGAAAGCAAGACAGTTATTGATTTAAAAAATTCTTTGTCTTTTGCACCCCCTCAAATGATGTTAAATAAAACCTATGAGAAAGTTTTCACATCCTGTGAGATGAACCGTTTGTGTGATGGCTGTGATTAAAAATGGAAACGGATTCTCTGCTAAAAAAGCTGCCCTTCTTTGTGCGAAACCCACAAAGGTGAGAATGTTCCAGCTGAAAGGTGGTGTGAAAATAATGACAAAGTCCCCCCTCAGCTGTTATAGGTAACCCACGACTAGTGTTCAAGGAAGCAGGATGAAAGGGGCATTCATCCCTGTCATGTTTACCTCTTCTCAGTTTGTATGGGTCCCATAGACTCGAGTCACGCTGGTGGCCAGGTCCCACTCGCTGTGACACCCCCACTCCCCTTCCTTTGGCAGTCTCACCTCCCTCACCAAACCTCACCACTTTAGATGGCGCCAGCCAACAGCAGCATTTTGTGGTGGGTGTCATGTTGTTCTTCAGATGCCAGGGTGTCATCGCGAGCGGGAACAGTGTGGGTCTGACTCTCCGAATCTGCAGAAAGAAAAAGAAAAAAAAAAAAACACCCAAACCCCAAACAGTAAGCTTTACTTTCCAAATGTGTTCAATTCTTCTTTCCTCTCCTTGATATTTGGGGCGTGCAGCACCCTATACCATGTGGTTTAACATTTTGTTCTCTATTTGTAGGTCAACATTTCCATGATTAAACTTCATCCTTTATTCAGCCTGTTCTGGCTAGGCTTTGCAGCACATGTGATATAAGCTGTTTTCACAGCTAGTAGGCCAAATCTTACTCTGGATAAGGGAGCCAAACATATGTGACTGAGTCAGACACTTAAATCAGCTCCCTGGTAAATGGGAGATAACTCCAGGTGCAGTGTTGAACACTGAGAACCAAAAAAGTGGGAAGGGTGGCCAGCGTTCCTCCGTGTGGGAAAGGAGACATCCTATGCACATAGACAGTGAAATCATAGCCCTGCCCAAATTTTGCTCTCCCACGTTTGCCTGAGGGTATGGAGCCCTCATCACTGAAGTAACTGGGAATCTTTTCATTGACTTTGGTGGGCTCAGGATCAGGTCAGCCTGGGGCAGGCTTAGCTGCAGCTGGACACAGGTCAGACTTGCTCAGGATGGGGACAAAGTGGGAGGAGGCAAGGCCCTTCCTGGAGACCCCACCTTGCACTTGCAGTGTGCACAAGGTGGTTGCTGGGGGGACACGGAGCGCCCCGCCTACGGCACTGCATTTCTTTCACTCACCCTCTTTTCATCACCCTTACATATCTGGCTCATTTACTGACTCAGGCTGGTGACTCTTCTTTCATCTGGTGACAGGTATCAATTGCTGTAACGCAGGGTTGGACTGGGTGACCTCTCCTCATAGATCAGTGGAACAATTCCTGGAAGTGCTGGCCACTTGGAGTGAGCATTACCCAACGTTGCCAGTACTCCTCAGTGCAGAGGTTTTGCGTTAAAGGACTCTTTCTGGCCGTGTGGCCAGCAGCCCTCCTTCTCCTGTCTTTCCTTGCCATTGCCTGGTAACTCTGGTAAGTACAGGGAAGCCTACAGGGCTCATTAAGGGCAAACAGAAGAGTCAGATGAGCAGTCAGGTGTCATATATGATCCAGAGCCATTATGTCATTGCTGTGTGACATTCCTATTTTCACCAGGGCTGGATGGGTCCTGGCTGTTGGGCTGCTTCACAGCAAACACCAGGGCTGACTAGAGTGAGTAGCAAAGGAGACCTTCTGCAGCAAGTCCAGGGAGGACACATTTTCCTCAAATGGGCAAGGCTGTACCCTCCCATAATATTACAGAACTGCATTTCATCTATTATTTGGTGATGAACTGGAACAAGGGAGTTGGCAATGAATCATTTCCATAAGCCCTTAAAGAGCTCCACTTGGGCTGACTCCCTCAGTTAAAGGAAATATTGGCAATGTATAGAGCAGGACTTTCAGTGATTTTTGCTTTTATCTTTTTTTTTTTTTTTTTTTTTTTTTTTGTACATTTGCTTGTTTTTTTTTCAATAGATTTTTTAATTTAGAAAAAAACATCTCCTGCCCAAAATTAAATCTGCTTGTGAGATTTTCAGTGGATAAGCTCAAATAATGAATACTGTGGCTGTGAGCACTGTGTTACCCACTCTTTAGAAAGTCCTGTCCTGATAACACACATGGTGGCATGTAGGATCAAATGGATGAACTGCTCTGAAGCTTTGAGGACCTGCCTCATGGTTGGGCAAATTCCTGGGCATGCATGTGGGCATCTGATTGACTTCCCTGTCATTGCATTGGGAAGAAAAACCTGCTGGCTAAAAGAAGAAAGTTGCTGAGACCTTAATAGAGGGCAGGATCCTCCAGTGCTTGTCATGTCGTTAGGGGATGCTGTCCTGAAGTGAGGCCCAGAAGTAGATGATGTGGTCTGGTGTGCCTGGGGGCATGAAATAGTGCAAGGAAAAGGAAGGATGAATCGACACTCCTGAGAAACGACAGGGAGAGTACCACGATTCTGCCCTCACTGATGTGAAAGTTAATCAAGAATATGCTGGAATAAATCCATAAGTGCTTCAAAGACATCGGTGTCAAATTAGTGGAAAGGAGAGGGGAATTCAGGCCAGTAAGATCTGCTGATAGGGTCAAGTGGCCTTCCTGTCCCTGGGTTTGCCTTTTGGAAACAAACTGCACTTTGGTTTCACTTTTAAAAGTGTGAGCCAAATTGTGATGCTTACAGAATGCAAGAGGAGAGGAAGAAGATGGGAAAATCCTGTGATCAGGGTATGAGAGGATCACACCACAGTACGATGATGTGAAGTTGAGGAAAAGCAAATTAAGCTTTTTCTCTGCAGTTATTTAGACAAAGGAAGTTAAGTCACCATTTTCTTATACTTAAATACGAGCCTCCCTCTTCCATGGTATAAAAGATCTCGTGATCACACAGGAATGAATTAAGACTGTGGTACCAGATGTAATTTCAAGTTAATGAAGAGACAATGTATTTTGTATTATCTTTTCTCATGTTTCTGATTGTCTTTTTTGGGGTTGATATTACTGTAAGTAAATACATTTGTCTTTTGTTTCATTTTCCCCTTGTGACCTATTTCATTTAATTAGAAGGAAATGTATAATAGGAAATGAGTAGCATCACACTGGGCTCCATCCAAAGCCTGTGAAATCATCAGGAATCTTTCCCGGGCTTTTCATAAGCACCGGATCCAGCCCAGCAGAAAAGAGGGGCTATTTCCACCTTATCTGGAAGAATGTGTGCTGCCAACATAAAAATATTACAGTGCTCGGTTTAAGATCTGGCCCAGATACTAGGGAAGGATTTTGCTACTGCATATGCCTCTCTGTGCCACATGTTTCACATCTGCAGCAACACGTCAAAGGATAAAGGTTCCTAAAACCTTAACTCTGAATATACATATAAAAAGAGGATACAAATTAAGGACAAGATAAAAGATATTGATGGAAGTACAGGAGATGCTCTTTAACATGCATATTATTGACTCAATAGATTGTTACGGCTTCAGAGCTATTAGGGTCTGCTGTGTCAATGTGTACTTAGGGACTGTTTAATATGCAGATGGTTGACATGACAGACCGAAGCCATTACAGTCTATCATGTCAGGGGGATACATGAATACGCACTTTGCCAACACTGTAAAAAGTCCCTTTAAAATACAGTTGCTGTGCATACTTAGCTGCTTTTTAAAATAATTTAATAGGTTTGGTTCTTTGGATGCCCAGAGATTACAGCAACAAAATTTATTTCCAAATTAAGCCATTTTCCACATGGTATATGCAGTCAGGAGGACAGGGTGTAATCTCAGATACACAGCTCCTATCGAATCTTGTAAAATTATCCATTGCACTTGTGCGTGTGTAGAAGAGATCAGAATCTATCTGTCGGCATGTGTCTTTTTGAAGAATATAGTTTTGTCTTTTTGAGGGGTAAGGGAGAATGTCGTCTCTTTTTTCATTCAAATAATCTTCAGTAGCAATTAAATAGCTTATGCTACCTAAGAGATCAGTTATTACAAGATAAGCAGCATGACAGTTTGGAAAAACTGAATAAGTCTTTGATTATTTACTAAGTTTTGATATCTGCTATTTGCCTGAAAATGCTAAAAAGTGAAGTATAAGATACAAACATGAAAGGCTCATTTGATCATCATAAGGAAAGGAATCAGTAGTTTTGCTTTTCTTTTCCTCAACAACTTTTTTTTTTTTTTTTTTTTTCAAGTGTTGTGTTTAATAAGATATTTTTTTTCATTTGAATATCAAATGGAAAAATACAATTAAAATATTTCTGCTTTTACATTAGTCGTAGGCTACATTTCAACAATGCATATATCTAAGAAGCTCAGCATACACATTTGGTATATATTAGATGCTTCTAACAGATGCCCAGACCTCTTCCCCTGATTTTTAATGTTCTTTTTTATGGCAGCAATCCAGGGACATTTTAATTTGCAAGTCTGTGAACTTGGAAATAATACTTGTAGTGGGGCATTACATCTAGTCCATTCCCTCTAAGTTTATTGTCATGTGTCACCTAGCTCTGATTTTAGCTGATTTTCTGGACTGAGACACACCATGCAACTCCAGTGCAAAATTCACATAGCAAAAGCACTCTGCCTTGCAAATAATAGTAACTGTGCAACATTATAAAGGCCTTTCCTCTTATCTGGGGGACAGCTGGGGGGCAAATCCTGCAAAGAAGAAGTGTGTTTTCAGGCAAATGTGATGACTGATTTTCTGACGGCACCTTTTACCACCTGGTGCTAACAGGGAGACCATTGGGGCAGCTGGAATAGGGTGATGAGGGGTAGGGCAAGTGCCAGGAGATAGAAAGCATGGAGAGGATGTTTTCCACAGCCTGTCACACGTGTTCTTCAGAGTCTTCTTTGAGATTTCTGCAGTGACACAGGAAAGCCAGGAAAAACTTGGGGGAAAAAAAGAGGTCCAGGAAAGCTCAGGAGGTGGCTGCTTCTTACAGCTGAATAAATTTGCCCTGCGCTCCAGGAGGGGCCCCTAATGGGAAGATGCCTCTCCCTGTGCTGAGTTACCTCTGCAACGAGGAACGACCAAGCAGCAGGAGCCTGAGCCGCAGGAAAAACGTGTTGTAGCCTCAAACAACATCTGTGTCGGCGGGAAAGGTGTGCTTTGCTTTGTCGCTGGACCTGGGAAGGTGGGGGCATTTCTGTGGTTGCCTTTTGGCAACAGGTGGTGACCATGGCTATGGGAGCAGCAGCCTCCACACCATTTCCCACGCCACCTCTGGCCATCCGGGGTGGCGGGGGGGGGCGCACATTTGGCTGTCCAGGGCTCTGCCCTTCTCCTTCCCTGGGGCAGCCCTGGGAGCTCCATATCCCCCTCTCTGTGCACCCATGTGCAGGGAAACAGTAGCTGAAACAGGCATGTATGAGGGTGCGATGTGGAGCGCTGCATTACCTGGTGCTAATCAATAAAGCGAAAATGTAGCTTTTTGACAGCACTTGTAATTTTGACTATTGCAATGGTGTGCCATTTCTTTGAATGCAGTACGCTTCTGTGCCCCATTAAAGCATGGCTGGCATCGCTTTCAACTATTCACAAATGCTGAGATGTTGAAAAATGTAACATTTACAAAAGATACATCTGGTGTATATTTACAAGGCTCAGGAATCATTTAAATAGTGCCTGTGCCATCACCATATTAGGAGAAAAGTTAGTCCCAGCCCCATATGTGAAGTCGGTAGTCAAATGTGTGCTGGTTGAAATTCCACTGATACGATATAGTATTTTGGGGTATTAAACACGAACACACCACACTGGGTGTAATACCCGAATGTGATAAGTATAGACTGGCCTAACATGTGTGATAATTGCCTATATGCACCTGTTTCAAACTATGTGGTCAGGAGAGGATTATGGGTTTTGAGGGACAAATGCTTAATTTTTTTATTAAAGAAGAATCTTTGGCTTCTCACTGTGAAAGGTCATCATATTTTTTCCAAATCATTAATGAGAATTGTAAGACCTACCTAGGAATTGATGAAAAAGATGTTGAACGGCCTTCCCTATATCACATAACATGTTGAGGACAAAAAAGTGTTTGTCTCCTCCTGCCAGTGCAATACCACTTAAGCTACATTTGAAAACTATTTTTTAATTAACGTGATGGGTCATATTTTCACCATTTTAAGTCAGGAAATTCAAGGTAAACCAGATACTCCCTTCCTCAGTCACACAAACATGAATTAAGCGTGTAGCATCAGAATTAATTTCAATCTCTAGGTTTGTATTTGAATCTAGCTCAATATGATTTTTTTTTTTTCTGCACCATCACATTGATATCTGGATGTTAGTGACATTATTTAAAGCAACAAATCAACCTATAGGACTGTGTTCAGCTATACTTTCTTTATGTCATTTGACAGTAAATGGAATAAAAAAATGTTACTTTTCTCTAGGGGCAGATTTGTTAAAGGGTTTTCATCTTTTGTCAAGATATTTAATCTTGAAATGTTACAAAAAAAAAGTGCACAGTTTGTACAAGTGCAGATTTCTGCATGCACAGTTTGCTTGATTGCTAATTTGGATGAACATGCTTAGACTTAACACAGGCAAATGAGAGAGGAAAGAATTTGTGTGTATATCCTTCTGAGTCAAGTGTGAGTCCCTGTGCTCTAAGGGAAGCAGGTATCCAGTTTTGGGGCTGAAGGCTGTCACCCTGGGTCGCCCCATACATCAGTCTCTGTTCATGCATGCCAATGAGAACAAATCCTAACAATGAGCTGTGGAGTGATGCCAGCAGAAATGAATGTTTCTGAAAGCTTCGGGGTTTTGGAAAAAGCAGCTAAAGCCGATTCGGTGGCACTCGCCACCGCTGACTGACTGAAGGAGGGTGAGGTTTTGTCGAAAGCCTCCCATGTAATGGACAATTCTGAACACACCTTTGTTTTCCAACAGGCTCAGTAAAGCTGATATGGGACTACAGGATCAAGCCAAAATACCCAACCATGTTATTTCCTCAGAGAGGTTCACTGCAGAACCACCTATCCAAATTTATTAGCGCTCCTAGTAATTATTATCATTAATTCCTTTTAGTTAGCCTGTCCCTCCATCATGGTAGTGATCATGTGCTGGGATGTCTACTGCTTGTGACATCATTTGCCTTTGGAAGTGGATGGTTGTTTAATTGATAGATTGTAAAGATAAGATGACCTATTGCCTTGTTGTGCTTTGATTTGCTTTAGTTGCCTGGACTCTCGCAGCTCCTTAGTAGCTTCTCTGATCCATCATGTCAGGCTGGCAGCTGTGCCTCTGCACTCTGCCTGCCTGCCCACCCCAAGCCAGATTTCAATCTCAGATGCGTGGCATACCTTCCTCCCTTGCTGTCCTCTCACCAGAGAGCTGATTTTGCCTGCACCTCTATTAAACGGCTTGATTTGAACAGGAACAACTGCTTTCTCCCATGGGTCCTCTCAATCCAGGGCACTAGGTGTGCAAGGACAGAGGAGGGCACATTCCCAGATGTCCTTAGGTGTGTGCTATGCATCTGAGATCAGGCTCCTGCCTGACATCTGTGGGCTGGGCCTCCAACCCACCCCAGCGAATGGTCCTGCTCAGTACTGTGGCCATTTTCATTTGGAGATATTTCCCCCATGCTGTGTAACTTCTGCCTTTACTGTGGACTCCCTGCTTCTCTCAAGCTTAATTTCTCTGTGGCTTGCAGGCCCGCAAAGGACAGCGCTTCAAATGAATAAACTCCATTTTACATCAGTACACCTGAAGAATTGTCCTTGGAGTTTTTCACCCCCTCCCCAATACTAGGAAAAAATGATTGGAAAATGATTGAAATTTTATAATCAGATTCTCAAGAAGAAACAGGCTTTTTTTTTCACTGCCAAGCTGTATAATAGGTGTTTTTGAGAGGTCGTTAACTTCAACAGTATAGTCAAAAACAGTGTTACACCCCACACTGCATCCTTCGTTAAGCAATTAAGTTACTGATAGGCTTTTACATTTATTTACCTTGATGGAAAGATATGTTTACTCAACCTGAGTACAAATCAACATGAGGAGGTGGAAGTTCAGAGTAAATTTGACTAATGATGTTGTGTCTTCATCCTTAAAAGAAAGAAAAAAAGCCTCCCTGCTTTTGATGCTATTTTATCTTCATTGGAAGGGATCCGAAATGATCCCAACTGTCATGTGAGCACTCAGCTAGGCTCAGATCCTCTTTGATTGCAGCTGAACGTCTCTCTCTGTTGGCTTATACCTCTCCTTATATGAATACAGCGTACAGCACTTCAGGTTGTTTATTGAACAGCACTTTAACTCTTCCTCTGTGGATGCTCACATGATTATATCTTTAAGCAAAATATGGGCTGAGGCCACCTTTGCCCAGGGAGATGTTAATGTGGCCGTGTTGTTGATGTGAAGGAAGAATTTCTTCTAAGTTTCAGAATAACTTCTGAAGTACAGACCTGACTGTTACAAGTCATATTTCTTTCACTAAACCTTAATTATCTCTCCTTTTCTTTCAGGCTCACTCTGTTCTTCAGTCTTGTTACGTGGATTTCTCTCCAAGTAATTCCTCAGCATCCCCTTGAATGGCATCTACTGCACGTGAGCATCCTCCACTGTCTCTAAGATACTTTTGTTGTTTTTCTTTTTTGAACATTTGTTTTTTTTTGAGATGACATTGATAGACGTGAGGCCTAAGTCTGGAGACGTTCTGTGGGTAGAGCTCACATTTATTTCAGTATGTTGAGCAGTTTTAGGATCTGATCCATACTGAAGACTAGCACGGCGTAATGAGGCCCGGGCATATAAAACAATATGTATTCTAACACAGCTCACTCAAAACAAATATGTTCCCTTCTCTTTGGCTGGTATAAACAAACAATCTCCATTGTGTTCGGCACAGCTCTGCTGCACCGCCTCACTCATGGCAGGAGCTTGACTTCCCAGTTCGCAAAATAGCATCTCCATCCTGTGATACGTCTTCCCACTGCATGCCCAGACAACCCTGTGACTTAGGACACTGGTCCTAAAAGTTGTCATTAAGTCTGGTGTTAAGTCTTAAGTGCTTCGTGGGGAGAACATTTCTCGCTACAGATATATTTAAAGGGGGTCTCATTTCTAAGTCCTGTGCTCTTCAGTCAGACAAAACTGACTGTGGATTGCAGGACAGTTTTGGACAACAGGAAAGCAGAGAATCGATGTAATAGTTATCTCAAGATACTCTCATGCTGACCTGCAAAATCTTCTCCTCTGATATCTAAATTTCCTTGCAGTAAAAATCGGCAGCTGCATGAAAAATTTGTGATGACTGGAGGTGGAAACATTAACAGGGGCTAGTTCAAAACTCACATGCAAGATTCATTGTCTGTGTGAAGTGCAGCGAGTTTGAACTCAGGTGTTCCTTCTGCGATTGAACTCAGACTTTTATGCTGTTCTGCAAAACCATTACCCTCTCCTGTAACTTGTGCTGGAAGCAGAGTGAGCTGTTTTGGCACTGAAATGATTTCATTGTTAGGTTAAGTGTTACACAGATGGCATTCTTAAATGTAAAATTCTTTTTATGATTCTTTCGATTTCATATTTATTTCATTAGATCATTATTTATGTTAAAGAGACACCATTAATATGAAACGTGCTCAGCTTGAAAGAAAATGTTGAGAGGATTTTCAGGTATCTGATCCTCAGTCCTTTAGTTTTTGTGTTTTGCATTTTCCTATTTAAAATGTTTTTTTGTGTCTCTAGGTGCTATGTGACAGATCCACACAGACAACAGAGGGGAAAGAGCCTCACTTAACTGATTAGAGGAGAGAAGCAGTGAAAGGGAATATGCACAAAGCGCTGCCAAGTTCACAGAGCAAAGGAAAAGATAAAAAATAGAATCATTTCACCAAGCTTTTTTTTTTTATTATTATTTTATTTAGAGTAATGAGAGGTATTTCTTATACTAGCAGCAGGGAAACAATTTTCAGACAAAAATGTGATTTCTTAATCAAGGGTCTCTAATTCAAAATATATTTATTTAATAAACAGTAATTATGATAGCTGCAACTACTCATTCATATCAATAATTCATTCAGAAGTAAACCATATCAACATATTAACATTTATTTTTCCATTTAATAGGCTGTGATTTAAAATAAATGTAAATCGTCATAATCATTCAGCTCCATATGCTGGGAAAGGAAAAGTCACCTTAAACCAGATGCATATTGTGAAAAAAAAAAAAACGGGGAAGACAAGTTGTTCTAAAGAAACAGCATATGGGGGCAGATATTAAGCTGGGGTAAAGATGCTCTGTTTTGTAGATGCTTTGTTACGTCAACGAAACGAGGCTGAGCTACACCAGATGAGGTTCTGGTCAGTAATTTTGAAGAACTGGATGTTTTACAGGGTTTTCCACTGAGTCATATACTGATTTCTTTCTTTAAGAAAAGACATAAATATAATTTCTTCCAGTTTTAATCTGGAAAAGACAATAAATGTGATAAAGAAATTTGAGGATTTTTATGTATGGAAACAATAGGCTGTATGACTGAGCGGGCTCTGCATGTGTATGTGCTTGTGTGTGTGGAGCTGTATTTATTTTTTCCTGTTGCTAGTTAAGTTAGTCAAACCCTCTCCTAACTTGTATCCCTAACTACCCACCTTATTTTGTCAGCTGACAGCTCTTTTTGAGCTCCCTAACCCATCAGCTCTCCTGAAGCAAGCTCTGTTGAAAAATCTTTCTGTCCCCCATCTGAGGCCCAGAGAGCGGCATTTGGAAGCTGCGGAGCATGGTTGCGCTTGGTAGAAAAATCTCTTTTTATAGGGAAAAAGCAATGAAAGGTTCGAGCCCTGGTCTGCATCTGCTACTGCTGCTAGAGCATTTCAAACACTTGGTGCAGATCTTGTCTTGCAGCTTTATCTTTTGATTTTGCTTTCAATAGGTGAGGCTAGAGCCTGTGACGGGGAGCGGGGTGTCACCGCGCTGCCCGTTCTGCTTCCACATCCGACCCAGCGCCGATGGCACACCCTTTGGGCCTCACCACAGCCATAGGGCCCTCTTGTCCTCTGATGAGCTCAGCAGAGCCGTTTTCCTCCCACAGACAGAGCGCCCTGTGTTCTGACTGGGAGAATAAGGCCATGCACCCCTTCTTCCCCTGAACTCATGCAGCGATGCTTTCAGGGGACGTCTCAAGGCGGTGTCTGCAGCCACAGTGCTGTGAGCATGACATGGGTTAACTCTGCAAGAAGGTGTTTTCACAGCCTCGCAGGTGAGTTTTGTCGCCTGTGTAGTTATTGTGTTACTCTTCCAAGGCTGGCGATGCTGTGCCACTGTCCCAGCGGTGACTGCCTTTCACATGTAGCCTGCGGTGCACGGGGATGGTGGCCACAAGGTCGGCAAGTTAAGGCAGTACATGGGTTTTGTTTTTCCAGGCTCTGCCATGCTTTGTGCTGCTAATGTTCCTCCTACAATTTTTAAGGAGACAAGTGAGTCATGTTGTTTGATTTTCCCCATTCTAATAGCAAGGAACCATGCTTTTTCCACAAGTTATTGCATTATTCCTCTCTATGGTGTGGCTCTGATTTAGTGCTGGATGAAGCTCAAAAGGAGGATTAGTGTAGATATACTCCCATATGCTTGGATGCATTTCTGAACTGTGTCTGTACCATCCTCACTGCTTTTGATGGAAAAAGCTGGGCTATAAACCTGATGAGAACAGGCTTCCATGCAAGATGTTTAGTATTTCCTGCTTCCATTTGGGCCAGGAATACGGCACATCCAGCCCCTTTTGGCCCTGAAACTCTTGGTCATGGCCTTGCCTGAAATTCAGAAAATCACAGCGGCAGAAAATGAATGGGGGAATAAAAGGAAGTTGATTCTTCTCCACTTTAATAAAGGCTAGATTAGAGCTTAGTTCTGGCTTTGGCTGAAACTTTGCTGGGGGATGGGCACAGGTAGAATGTTTTTATTTTAATGGAATTGGTTCATCCATCTTTTAGATGGTTGCACTGGAGTGCGAGTCTATTTTTATGGTCCTGAGTAAAAGAACCTGTGCTGGTTTTTAAGAGCTGCACCTTCTGGGAAAATTAGGGCTGGGTGTAAAACCCTGACTGTATTGTATTCAAGAAAATTGGGAGCACAAGAAAAGAAACAGAAAGAGTGAAAGAGGGAGAGAGGGGGGCTTTACCAAAGGTATGCTGCTACAGTGAGTCATGCTACTCCGTGGTGTCACACATAGGGTCTTCACTATGCCTAATACCTGATCATTTTTCTAGCTGGTAACCAAATTGTTAAATTGCCAGACAAGCCACGTTGAAATAGTTCCTAAAAGTACTGTTCTACTGTCATTTGGGGGCTTTCTTCCTTAGACGTTATTTTTAAAAATAATTTCCTAATAGTGCTGTAATCAGCTGATCATTTTTGCTGATTCTTTCTCCATTACAAGGGTTTCTGAGTTTATGAATGAAAGCCTATGCTTTCTCAACCAAATCCTCCACTCCTTGGTCTGTTAGTAAACTAATGTTAATTTACAAGATTTGTCTGAAACCTCAGGCTCTGCCAGCTGGATGCTTGAGGAGTCCAAGCTGTCTAGGTAAAGAAACACCTTTTTCACACGCCTGGGCCTGGCTCCCGCGTTGCCCCGTAAGTTTCTATCAGTACAAAGGCTGACATTGTCTGCAAGGAGCAACTCAGATTACGGCCCCTTCCAGCTGTGTTGCCCCTGACCCCAATCCTGCCCTGGGCTGCCTATGCCCTGCCCTCCCTGCATGCACGGAGACTTCGGCTGCAGCCCTCTGCCTGCCAGTGTTGAGTCTGGTCTTGAGGGTGGCCTTGGACGCATTTTAAAAGGCAGCACAGACGCTCTGTGGGGATAACATGGAATGATTATTTTAGGGCAGATTTTCCCCTAAAAAAAATAATAGTTCTACATGCCCGCGGTTTGATCTTCACACAAAGGATTTATATAAGAACTCACTTCTCTCTGTCAGTTATTAAAAAAAAAGTGTGCTGGCGGGATTTAGGGAAGTGTGCAGGCTAGAGGATAGTGACAGACAAAAGGGAGTTTTTCTTCTAAGAACATCTGCACAGCTGGAGTTTTGGCAGTGCTGTGGTTAGAAAGCCTAGGTGTTGCCAGGCCTGTGTGAGGGACAATATCTGTTTGGTACCCTCCTGACATGTAAATCTGGCCAGCAGTTCTTAAAGCAGTCCTCAGCCCTGTCCTCTGCCATGGACACACAGACGTGTATATGCATTATTTTTCTGTCAAATGCCTGGTTTGGGGAATCTGCCAGACTGGAGGTACACTGTATGTAAATGATCTAAGGGTAAGGGTGGAGGGAGAATCTGTGATTTCTTTACATGCTGAAGTGGTTGTAAAGCTGGCACAAAGTTCACCTGGTCTCTCCGGAATAGAACTGCCGCAGTGGTTCTAGACAGCACAAACCCAACATGCCAACTCCTAATACCCTGCAAAAATGTACCTATAGCTCAGGGTGGAGAGACTCAACGACAGGTCTGCTGGAGAAAGGGCTCTGGTAGCCTAGCAAGGACCCAGCAGGACAGGAAAGGTGCCCTTTTGGCACCTACACCTCCAAAAGTCTTCCTAGGGTCCAGTCACCACCTATGAGTGGAGCACTGGCTAACTCTATTCAATCTGCATTGTGGCGTGAAGAAAATGTGTGTGTGAGTCTGAAGTTGCTCAGATTCTGGTCTGTCTTGGGATGGCCCTATTCAGCTCTTCCCAAGGAGTGAGTCCCAAATCCAAAGACAGATTCTAGCAATAAAACCTATGTGCTTGCCTTTAATATAGCATGATACTTAAAACTGAATATAAGCAAGGATGAGGCTTTAGATCTTCCTCAAATCTCAGTGTAACTTTGAGGTTGTCAAATAGTACTGAACTGAGAGATCTGGAGTAGGAAAATTAGTGAACACAAAAGTCATGATATTTACTCAGTTTATGCATTTTCTCTCTCTTTTTTTTTTTTTTTTTCATAAAACCTGCATAACTGGCATGTAATTGTTTTGCTAAGTGAGCCTTGAAAGCAAAAGTCTTGATAGCTGTCACATATCTTCTTTGTAGTAGTGTGTTGTCCTTAGAAGCTAATCAGTAGAACTTGCTCAGAAGAACTTAATCAGCAGAACTGAGCACATTGTCAGTGCTTAACAAATAATAAATTATAATAATAACAGCAGTTCCTTTTGACACAACCTATCAAACTTTTGCTTTATTTCCAGAAATGCCTTACTTGCTTCTAGTTAGGATGTAATACCTGCTACAGCTCTACGTACTATGCTTGAGAGGCCTGGTGATACAACCTAACAGGGTGGAAGTATTGTTTGAAATGAAATTTTAACAAACAGCAGAAAAAGAGTCCCGAGAAATTTCTTGGAGTGTTCCTTTTCAATTACCAGTTTTGCTTATAAGACTTAAAAATTGAATTCAAGAATAGATTTGAGCTGTTCAGTTGTTGAAATGTAAAATGCTATGCTTACAAGTTAATAGAATCATATTTGAATTTCCTGATAGTCTCCATTTTAAAAGACAGAGTCATTAGTTTTTCCTTACAGAAAGGTGAACGTATCCATAAGCACATTTATTATTATTAATTATTTTTATTATAAGGAGCTTGGATAACTCAGAGAGTTGTTAACACATCTGGGGCTATCGCTTCTTTGTCACTATTGTAATTTGGCCTGGGCTGGGAGTTACCGACAATCATTTCATTTTCTGATTGTTTGGTAGTTTATATGCAATTAGTTAGTAGGTTTTATTCACTTTCAACAACGTATATCCATGTTATGAAGAAAACCACCAGGTCAGCTTTAAGCTGCTGCTAATTGTCACAGGTTTAAATGGAACCGTGTCAATTTATCCCCGTTGAGGATCTGACCAATGATCACAACTGGCATTAATTAGCAGATGTGTTATCAGACTCCGCGGAGATGTCCCGTGTTGAGTGACAACAGAGGTGCTCAGCTGCCATGGCTGGTGGAGCCATGCCAGTTTGGCAGCTGATGGTGCAGAGTCCGATGCTGGCAGGTGGAAAGTCCAGGTCACCCCTGACAGAGGCACAGGTGGTAGCTTCTGCCACCAGTGCCCATGCAGAAGAGTGCACCCAGAGCATGGGGCAGCTGATTGTATTAAAACACAGGCAACACAAGCTACCTGGGAGGGAGGAAGGCTGGGGAGAAGAGCAGGAGGATGCTCTAGCACTGAACTGATTCGTCCCTGGAGCCGGGTATGCACAAGAGCTTGTGCTGCTAGTGTGAAGTGAAAGTCACTGGCAAATGTGTTGTGGCTCTGGCTTTCTGGGTGCACCATCTGAACTGACACTGTAATGCCAGTTGCACGTGTGTGACAGAAGGGTGGGGGAGGCACCTCTAAAAAGAGGGCATCCTAAAAAGCAGTAGGATTTCACAGTGGCAGCTACTGACACCTGCAATGTTATTATGGTTGTAAACTAGGGGTTTGGATCATGTCTAGAGAAGTGTCTTGAGCAGGTCATGTGGGTGAAAAAAGAGCAGGAACATGACAAATTTGAGAGGCTGCACCTTTACCAGGAGAAGGGAAGAACGTACCATCCTCACTTTGCATTTATCTGAGTGCAGCATGTGTTAAAACCAAAACAATAACCGGTGCAGATACTCCTTGCTCAATAGCAGCCACCCTGTCTCCTTTCTCATGCCCACCTGCCACCACGGGATGGTGGAAAGGAACAAGCTGTCAAGTTAACCCTGTGGGAAATTTGTAAAGATATCTGGTCTCTCAACATTCACAGGAGAGACTTGGACCTCAGGTAGCTCTGGGAATAATCTTTTCAACTACTGGCAGTTTCAAAATTGGCTTCTCCCACCATTTTAAACAAGATATGAAAAGACATTTGGGCATCTATTTGCTGTGATAAATCTGGGTCATGCTCTGAATACCCATCTCTAGGCCCAAAGCCACAACAGGGGATGACTGAGACTGACATGGGATATAGAAGTCCAAGTCCAGGATCCCAATACACACGCTCCCTAAGTTCATCACACATATTTTTGCTAATATTTCAAGACATCTAGCATCCTCTTCTGCTCGTGCTTCTTGGCCAGACAGCCACCAGCTCAGCTGAGCTGAACTTCTCACCAGCTAATCCTGACTTGTTTCGTCAAACTGTGCATTGCTTTGCCCACATCTCTTCAGAGAGTGACCTGGCCAAGCACGTGTGACACGCAATTGAGACTGAGCAGTACACAAAGTACAGCAGAGCTGTCTTCGCTGTCATTCAGAGTAAATGCCTCTGAAGTCCACCTGAGCTTCAGGGGGTTCAAGCCCTTATCTCTTATCTGCAAAGAGAGCAGGATCCCTAGCCAAGATCCTACAAGCTAAATATTCATAGGGGAAGATATTTTCCATACTTCCTGTAGAAGTGGTGCTGATATGCATAAGGTTCTCTGGGAGGAGTTTAAGGCAATAAGGTGGAGAATAAGATACCATCTCCAGCCCTCCTCTGCTGAATTAGCTTGCTTTACACTTAGCTGTTTTGGATTGGCATAAGATACAGGATCTTGTTTGGTATATTCATTGCGGCATAAGGTGTTTCTAAAATATTGGCTTCACAGCCTAATGAAAATACAGTGATTTTTCAGGAAAATCAGTAGAACATATTCTCAAAGGATATTCAGATATGATGATTATTGGAATTTTAATTAAAATAGCAGGTAAAATAAGTATTATGGTGTGTTATTATTTCTAAGATAACAACAGAATAAAGGTGCCCATTTCTTTCTTGAGTGCAATTTTCTAAATGAAAAAGTAAACATTAATATCTTCAGAGATCTTACTGATCTTGTATGATAATTTAGAAAAATATCTCTATTAGGGATAGTTATATATGCTTTCTGTTGGAAATGCAATCACAGGATATGCACATAGCTGCAATCTGTAGACAGATTAAGTAAATTAAATCACTCAATGTCTTTTTTTCAATAGCTCTAAAGTTAAAAGTAATTTGCAAAGAAAATACTCAGTTTCAATTGGTTTGTAATATCTGTTAATGATCTTTGGAAAAATTTCTGATAACACACGGGAATTCCCTCAGGGACAGGGTTGTGAATAAGTGGATTTTTTAAAGTTTGAGATGTCATTAGCTAGTGATTTTTTTGAAGTAAAAAGCTGTTACGGAATAAATTGCAGAGGTATACAACTGAACAGGACAATCATTTTTATGAATAATATACATTTTTTCCACTGTGCTTTCTGCCCCCCAAAGAAATAATTTACAGTCTAACTTGTTATTACAAACATCCTGGAATCATGACTGCTTGTGCATTTTGTGCTTACTTTATGTATATACTCTGTCTTTATACAAAAGTACAGATTGCTAGTGTAAAACCTCTAGTGTAAGGAGCTGATATGCTCCTTTTAATTTTTTTTTTTTTTTATTTTCTTTTTTTCACTTAGTAGATAACTTTTCCAACCCACAAGGCGGAAACAACTTCCTATAACTCACTCCAGCACAGCTATTCCCTAGAAGACATCCTCCCTGATTTCTTGTGGGGCCTGTAAGATCACTGAAATTGTAGGTAAGTGTAATCATGGAAAAAAAGGGCCTCTATTCTGTTGGTAGCTTGTTAGAATTAACATCTTTTTAACAGTTCAGAGATGAACGAGATATCTATCATGCATCACCACAGTAAGGTAACATTTCCCAGGACCAGTGATATCTCCTGGCCTCTGGCCCCAATCTGAGGATATCTGGAGTAGAAAAGTGTGCCAGAGGTACCACAGACTACACCTACCCCTGGGGGAACATTGTCGTGCTTCTGAGGTTCAGCTGTACAATTCAGCCATCTGCAGCTAAGGATGGACCTTATGTCTCCATAGGCTCCTCTGGATGACTCTGGGTTTAGACAGGGACTGGGGACACTCTGAAGGAATTCTGGTCTGTGTGTTGAGGCACTGGGACTCCAGGGTGTGCTGTCACATAGATCAAAAGAGAAGACTAGTTACAGTCATTGAGCCTTTGGTTTCCTCACCTTCCTCCAAACCTCTTTTGCCCAAGATCTTATTGATCTTGGTCTGCTTTTTCCTGATCTGAAGACAGGGCTGTAAGGCACATCATGCTAACATGAATATGACTGCTGCCTCCAGGATTCCCACGGAGGGTTGGAGGAGAAAGGAGAAAGGATTTGTCCAGCTCTAGAAACAGATGTGAACAGCCAACAGTTTGTAAAGCCTCCTAGTCTTTCCTGATTCTCTGAAGACCCAGTGTAGGAATCCATACCTATCCTGATAATCCATCAGTAGGTTAGACAGCCTCTCACTTCCCATATGTAGATGTTCAGTGATGCTCTGCAGTTACTCTGAGAGTAGTAGGACTCTTTCCTGGCTGCCTTTTAGAAGGCACTAGCATGGGTCAGTCCTAAAATGCCTTGACTTTGGCAGAGGCCAATACCTGACAATACAGAAGGAGAGTCTCCCTCCTCACTGCGTGCTTCATTGTAACAGTTTACCATGAACGAAGATGCCTTCCTGAGTATTGGCTGTCTATTGACTGCCATATGCCAAGAACTGCTGGGATAATTAGACATTATTACATAATACCAGCTAGTAAAACTCTCACAGATTTTTTTTTTTTTTTTTAAGGCTGGGAGCAACTATTATTATAATCTAATCTCACTTTCTGCATAATACATGCTACTGATTTTAACCCAATCTGAACTTTGTGTGAAGATTTGCTTTTATGCCTAAAAATGCCTCCTCATTTACAAATATGATGCTGTTTCTTTCAGTACTATCCGTGCAGCAGCAAGTTCCATTAATTAATTGTACATTGTTCGGAAAAGCAATACCTCTTATCCGTTTGAAATTTGATACCTCTTCGTTTCACCTTGCAAGGATAGGAAAGGTTTTCTTTTTTCCTTTGCTGCTAATTAAGTTGGAAGATCATGAGGATGAAATGTTATTTATATTATAGTCATGCTTAAGTAGAGCTCTGACGAAGCCTGGGGATCCCATCGCACAAAGTGAGGGAGACTGCGCAAGTCCTTTGGGGCTGACACTATTTGAATAGACAAATGGCACATTTTCAGGGAAGTTAAGTGATTTAACTGAAAAGATTGCCAGGCAAGTCTATGGACTTTTACCTCTGAATCATCTCTGCTTTTCTGAAAAACTCATCCAAAGTTTGAAAGAAAGTTATGGAAAAGTGAAGTTTCTAAAACTGAGGAAAAAAAAAAAAAAAGTTTGGAATATAGTCAGCAAAGGAAAAAAGGTGTTGCTAACATGTGATTCTGTGCCGTGTCCACTGTCCATAGGTCACGTTGGCCTCCAGTGACTGAAGGGCCTCTAAGACAACAGGATAAACTGAGGAAAGTATCTGCAATGTCTGCTTCATACAAGGGCACAAAGCCTTCCAGAACTGCTAGGGTCCAAGGACATCTAGATTATCTCAGGCAACAGTGCTTATTCCAAGTTTACAGAGAGGGTTCATGTATGATTTGCAGTCCCATGAAGGTGAGTCTTCCCTGAGAGACAAGCTGGTGCTTGTGTTCTTTATCTATTCTCCAGAAATTTCCCATCCTTGTGACTTTTATCATTTTTATTGCCAGTCTCTGGACTTGTTCTATTTCTACTTTCTTTTTTCAGGGATGAGGTGACCAAATTTGAAGACTGTATTCAAAGTGAGGATGTGCCACTGATTTATATAATAGCATTATAATATTTTCCATATTATTCTCTAAAACTCTTTTCTTCGTACAAACCCCATAAGATTCTTTTTAATTCTTTGAACTATGATGCCTTTTAACATCTGTAGTTTACTCTGATCAGATTTTGACAAAGGAATAAAAGGCTCCATTTTTCACATAGAATTTTATTTATTGTTTGAACTCTAGAGGAGAAATTGGTTAACTTACAATTTAAAATTCTTGGCAGTGTAGACCATTGGGCAAGGGTTTCATTATCAGCTCTTCTGTACTTTCTGTAGAAATGTGTGAGACTCAAAGTTGTTGTACAAGGTGTTGGCTCAGTAGACTTGTCTTTTTTTTTTTTATAAATTTGGAGCTGCCAGCATCCCCAAAGATATCAGAAATGGTTTTTACCTCTACCCTTTTCCTGATGAAACATGCATTTACATGCTGTTTAGCCAGGACTGTGGACACGTGCAAGAGGTACCCAAATTCCATGGTCTCCTGTTTACTGTACCACACACCTCCATGCCAGGTCAGGGGAAGACCCCTTTGAAAATGAGGCATTTGATGACTGCAAAGGGTGAGGATCTTGCTCTCGTGCCACACGTGGGCATTATGCCTTCATCAGAGTATTAGAAAAGGCTCAGGTAAAACAGTTATATCTATTCAATTGCCTATGATACTTCCTGCAGCTACTGCCTTGCCTTAGAGTTACCAATCCAAGTGCTGACCCTACCTGACCCTACTTATCTTGTAAAAGCTGACAAGATCACAGCCTGAAGCTGTATAGCCACAGGCTCAATACTGGCTACCAAAATGTCTGTTTAGTATTTTCAGGAAATGGTGTTCTAAAGATTTACAATATCAGCTGCTAAATATACAGACAACACCAACACACGGCCCTAACTCCTAAACATTCAGCCCCACTTACACAGAAATTTATGCCTCTCAAGGGGCGAACACTGAGCTACCAGAAAATAGTGATTCCCTACCTGCAAGTGAGCTGGAATTTAGGCATCATATGATTATATACACTCAGATATTGAGTAAAATTATTTGAAAACTACAGCCTTGAGTTCAGAATTAATTTCTTGCTTCTTTTGTCAGTTACATTATGCTTTAGCAATAGAAAGATCTCTACCATCTCTGTGTTAAATTTTTTTTTTTGAGTTTAGTATAGAAAATTTTCTTAATTCTTCTGTGACCAAAGCAGTTTTTCATCAGAAGTTATTTTTAGATGAACTGTAAGTTGCTTCTCTATCAAACATTTTAGCTCCGTTGTATGAAAGCAAATGTACTTTTTCCCAGATATCTCTAAGGATAAAGGCAGGTTTAAATTTCCAAGAAACATTAAAGGACCAATCTGGTTTAGATGCATGCACAATATACAGTAATAGTTCTTGTAGAGTGTGTTTTGTTTTCTTTTCTTTTCTTTTTAGAACAGCAAAGACATGGAAAAGACATTGAGGTCCTATTGCTTCCGTCGGAAACTTCTGACTACAGCATGAGTTGGATTGGGCCCAGAGAAACCAAATACACACAAGTAGCAATAAGTTGGCCATACAAGCAAGGAAAATCACAGATAACAGGTGCACACAAATTAGCAATGTACCTTTTAGGTCACCCAGTACAGCTCCCTGACACCATGAGATTGTTTCCTATGGCATATTTTCAGTTGTTTTGTGTGCCTAGATTAAATGTCTTAAGTGATGCCATGTCCCCAGGGAGAGATTGTGCTGCCTAGAGTATCTTCTTGTCAGAAGTGTTTTTTCCTTTCTTAACATCATCATATTTCTCCTAGTTATGTCCCTTTGCAAATCTCCTTCTCCTTCACTGATGCTATTTTCCTCCAGTATCTCTTAACTAGTGTGATGTTGTGTTTAGTTAGCATTAAGACAACCCGCAGCTATTTAGCTCATTTCAAATGAGCTAAACAAATCAGTCCTTTCAGTCTCCTGGTTATTCTTCCTGTCCTCTTGTCACACTCCTGCCTGTCAGTATCCTTTTTAGTTATGAGATTTTAAAGATGTGATGCATTTCTCTGAACTAATGACAGATCTGGTATAGAGCTGAGCACCCTCAATGTCGTCTCACTGAAAAACCCTCCTGATGTGCTCAGGGGAAGGCTACAAGCACTCTGGACAGACACGCAGGTAGAGTATTCTGCTCAAACCACTTCCCTGGTGCTACGTACTCTTTTGGCCAACAAAACCCTATTAAAAAGGTAACCTAGTAGTTCAAAACTGAATACATGTCATTATGGATTTATTTCATTTCTCACTGTGTTAAGAGATGGAGTAGAACAGATGAAAAGATTTTTTGCTGTTGAGATTTTCTAACTCTTGGTCATGGACATCACAGTCTAAAATTATGGAAGACGTCATCTTTCAGAACTATATCTGCATATTAGGAGAATACATTGTAGAAAGTATTTATATACATAGTCACAAGCCTAGCTGTTCACTTCAGACAATAAATTCTGATCAACAAACAAAATTCCTTTGGTGCTAAACAAGATCTTGCTTGCAATTGAATGTCTTTACCTTTCTGTTCTGTTGGGTTGGAGGAATATAATTTTAATCTACTCTCTTTAAATTTTCATTAAGGAACGTTTCAGCTACCTGCAGCCTCATCTGATGATGTTTAAGGATACCAGCTAGCTCGGTCTTCTGTGCACCAGCAGGGACTTCTTTAAATTGGTCAACTGTATGGAACATTGTTTTCAAGTTTAATGTACTTGGAATCAAGCTTTTAAAATAATAACATCTCTAGATGACAGTTTATATACATAGTGCACACACATACACGAATGCATTTATATGTGCGCATGTGTGTATGCACATATATATGTGTAAGTGAACACATATGTACAAAAATGCTGATCCTATTCACCTTCTTGAAACCATTTCAGCTAGTATTAACATAAATATGCTGTTAAATTGGCAGTGTCATACATTTTTGTTGGAGTTTACTTCTGTAATATAAAATCAGAAAGATAAGCTGTGAAACTCATGCAGCTGATGACATAATGCTAGGATCTCGTGATGCTGAATCTCATATTTCTAGGAGTGTGGGATGGATGTTCCTTGCTGAAATAATTATACTGCCTATTGCAATATATGTTTCCTTGCTTTCATGTGGGCACTGAGATGTCCAAACCATTAAACATATATGGTATAATGAGTCCTGCGTCCCTTATTTATTCTAAAGAAGGCATTAACTTTCTATGGTTGTTTTATTGTGTAATAAAGCCAAGTGCTCTAAGAATCTGTGATGAACATAGCAATAATCTGTGACAATATGCATATTTGCATTTAATAATGATGTCCAAATGTACATATGTGCATATAAATATGCATATATGTATATACAAACACACATAAGAGACATATACACAAATTAAATGGAACCAATTAGAATGTAGCATAAATAGATTCAAAGCTTACCTGTTATGGCTGCGTGAAGGGATAATTTGAGCTACGAAGACATGCAAGAAAGCTTAGCTCAATACACTCCATTGGCTCATTCCCATTATGCTCAACAGTGACAGGCTGTATGCTAAGACGGGGTACCAGCAGACATTCGTAATGACAGCTGGTTCAAAACAGAGCTTTCAAAATAGTGCAACACCCCTAACTTCTTTCCAAATCTTGGTGTTTGCCAGCACTTAACTGAGGCTGGTTCTTAAGGTCAGATGTTCAGATAAAACTTATTTGGATATAATCTGGTTCTTTATATTTGAACTGAATATATATTCAACATGCAGGCTTTTTGTTGCCCATGAATTTGCATTTGAGCTCACACATGGATTATGCTTGACTACTACCTGCAAAAGTGATGAATGTTTCTCCCTGATACTGTGCCCTATTTGCCTGAGATTGTCCTCTATTGAGTTCTTCACTCTCTTGTGGGCTACATAAACTGAGAGCCAAACAGTAGCTGTTTCTTTTTACTGGGACAAAATAATCCCTCAGCCTCTCTGTTGAGAAATGGAGGAAAAGTGGCTTCCCTTTAACATCACCCACATCGCACCCACTATGCTCAGCCAACTAGGAACAGAGCAAAAATAATACCTTAGTTGTCCTGTGTGACTTTTCCTGGTGGATGTGTATAGAATCTGGAAATAAACACGTTCCTCCTTCGGAAGGAAATGCAAACAGGGTTTATCTATTTGCATTTGAACTCGGTGAAAAATAACCAGGCACAGAAAACAAGCTTGAAGATAAGACCTGAATATAAGTAAAGCTAAATTTCACTAGGCTAAATTCAAGTGAAATATGCCACATTGTTATAATTATTGCATAGATCATGCGCTAATTCTTATACCGTGCTGGTGAAATAGTTAAATATTACATATGGGGCAGGTAGAGGAGCCTACCCTGGGATGCTATTGACTTTGCTGAGAAGTCAGTATGTGGGAGCATGCAATGAACAACCTTGTGAAAATGAGGCTGGTGAACTGATTTGGTCTTAGAAATGACTTTTCAGGGTGGTTAGAAAAATTTTTTAAAGCTATGATAGATTTTACCTGTAGCACTCAACTACTAAGTGTGTGCAGAGTGTTCAAAAGCAGTTTTTCATTTACTGTATCACCTGGGGAGATAGTCAGACCTTCAGAGGAATTCAGACAGCGAAAAGTGTGGCTGTTTGGGGTTCTTCAGAACTGCCTGGACTCTTCTCTCCAAATAAAATCAAGGAGACCCGGGCATCAGAGTGCTTCAGAAAAGCATTGACCAGGTGCCCATCAGTCTCTTGAGGAGCTGTACTCATTTCAGGAGTATTGACCCTGCTTCAGCTGGAGGTGCCTCTGGGGAGATGCTGAGGGGAACAGAGTGAGTCTGTGTTCATTTCTAGAGGAGGTATGGCTGTCTTGCATGCCAGAAGCTTGTGCAGGGCTGCTTCCCTGCGGCAGGCTTGCCTGGCCTACTGACACCAGTCCTGCTAGCTCCAGCGTAGTACGTGTGAGCAGAGTTGGCCATGCACTCTGGCTGCCGATGCTTCTGTTTGCCACCAGCCTTCCCTACTGGATCAGGGCCGCTACCAACTGCTGAGGGGTGGCCAGGAGCAGCTCCCTCTGGTGAACCTCTTTTGTGCTTTTATCTCCCTCTTCTTGGCAGTAAGCTGCCACTGGCTCCCAGCCATGGCCCTCTCGCCCTCCCCAGTGCCCAGCTTGCATGCTCAGCCAGTGCCTACATCTATTCCAGCAGCTGGCCCTACTTTTCCTCCACAGCTGGCTGCTGCCCCCTACTGTGGTAATTATTATTTATTATGGATATTCAGTGTACATTATGTGTCCAAAGTCCAGTACTATCTGAGTCACTACCAGGGTCCCACTGTGTGGGCAGAAGCATGCAGCAATACACAGTTGTTCCACATCGATATTCACCCGACTCTCACACAGGGAGAGACGGAGAGGGAAGGAGCGAAGGTGGCTGTTGGCACCTATTAGCACTATCTGATGTGACATGTACTTTCTGTCCTGTGTTACATGACTCCAGCAACAGCACAGCTGAGTGCAGAACCGCTTTTTCTCCACCTTGCTATCAATAGCAGGTCTCCTGCTATTCCTGCTATCTAGCAGGAAACACCTGAGGTGTTTTCCAAAAGTCATGGTCACTGCTCAGTCACAGTTTAACTCCCTGTTGCTGTGGCTGTAGATATTGCTTGGTTTGCAGTTGCTGGCAATAAGTTGCTGCCCTTAGACTGCAGCATGGCTATGTGAGACATCAATTTCTTTCCTTTTTCTCTCCCCCACCTTCTTCTCTGGGATTGTCTGTTCACTCTGGTTCGTTTGCGCGTGTGTCCTGCTCCTTGCACTTCACCGTTTCTCCTCAACCTGCGTCCCTGAAGACACCACCCTTAGTTAAAAGCAGAGGAGCTTTAATTCTTACAACTTAGTGCACACTGAAAAGCACCTGGAGGAAGAAGCAGCTTCTGTACTTTTGGAAAAATATAGAATCCTAAATATATTTCACACATATATGTACATGCATGAGAGGCAGGTTCTCAGCTGTGGTAGCTAGAGTTAGCTCTGTTCAAGATGATGGAGCAATACTGCTTCATGGCATTGAGGATCTGTCCCAGTATGTAAATGTAAATATCTATTTTTACAAGCCCTCCTACAGTTTGCTTTAAAAAAAAAGCTTTCTTTTTAGACACTGAAATCATACAAGCAGTCAGAAATGTCCCACTTTCTATATTTTGTCTAATTCCTACCTCTGACTTCCTTTGAAAGCTCTCAAAATCTAATGAATTCAAAAGAGACAGAGTGAATTAAAACTGAAGTAGCTTTGCCTTCAGTGCACTAGGCCTGCAAGAACTGAAAAAAACAGGATAGAAACTAAAAGGGTAGGAAGCCAAGTAAATCCAGATAATTTAAAATGTTTGATTGTAAGCGGGCTCACCAAACCCAGCAAAATTCCCACTCTCCTATTACTCGTAATCTCCTGCCCTTTCAGCTAGCTGCAGCAAGTTAATGTCAAGAGCAAATACTCACGTAATGCAATCTCTACATCAGAGCACTTTCTGCAATGAATCACTTTTTAAATTGTTTTGAGTTTACATTTAATTGCTTCCTTTGCATGCTATGTGTACGCATGCACTCGTTCCCCCCCCCCAATTTCATACATAACTGTCATGTAGGCTGGAGCTATAGTCCTCAGAGCTCAAGGAGTTTGAATCATCTTTTAAGATGGGAACCACATGTGAGACTTGGATCCAGATCTAGTGTGGATTCTGGATACGCTAATTTGAATGCATTAGGATTTGGGATTCAGACTTGTTTATTTGTTATGACAGTAGTTCTAATACCCACTACTGGGTGTTCACCTTTCCCCTCACTAGAAAGAGAAATGCTTCCCATATTTGCTTCCTCTGGACTGATTTGCAGTTCATTCCAGGAACAAAAATCTTCAGGATATTTTTCTGTTTTATTTCTTAACATCCTCGATGACAATTGTTTATAAGTGACCTCTGCAAAAACTTTTGAACATTTGGATCACTTGGTCACCTTCCCCTGAGAAGTCCCTGGTATCTCACTCTCTGTCTGAAGGCTGCTCAGCTGTCTTTTCAAAGTACTCTGATCCTACAGGGAGGTACTTTTCCCCCTTGTAGCAGCCTTAGTGGTTTGAGAGACTGAAGACACCCTCATGGGGTGTTCCTGTCCAACAAACTCCCTTGAACTGCTGTTCAGAACCGGTTTCTTGGGCTCTCTAAAACTGTGGTAAACTTCAAAGCTCTGCAATTCCCAGGATTTTCCTCATCTCCTTTTGAAGACAGGCAACATAATAGGGCTTCCCAGCCTTCTTGTGCTGCTGCATTTTTCAAGGGAAGAAGGCATCCCCTTGTCAGTATCTTGGCTTTTTCTCACTTTATTTCCCCTCAGAACTCCCAGATGAACACCATCCGGTTGTGGTGATTTACTGCACTTGAGTTTCTCAAGTTACTCTACAACTTCCTCCTTAGAGACTTCAATCTGTATAAAGGCCACACTCTGATTTTCTTTGCAAAGTGCCTTTGGCACAAGAATTTCTACATGACTCTCAGCAGCAGACACGATGCAAAAGATTCATTTAACTCCTCTGCTAGCTTGTTTCACTCTTCTCCTGACCCACTTTGTATGGATTTGTGGGGATCTCTGGGGTGTTTTGTTGCATAACCCAGCCCAAGATTTATATTCACCAACAGGTGAGGCTTGGCTCTCGGCTGGTATTCTCTCACTGCTCCACTGAAGGGTATTTCTGTGCATTTCTGCAGCCACTCTCATCACATCTTATTTGGCTGGTTTATTAAGCCCATTACCATTCCTCTGCACTACATCTGTCACAGGTGGGTTAAATCCTTGCTAATGCAAACTGTCACTGTCCCCTGGAAGATGTTCAGGTGAGGGGCTGGTCCTGTGGGAGCCCCCTCATCTACTGGCAGAGGGGCAGGCTGAGTGCTCAGCACCACAACACAGGAGGAGCATTCTAGCCCACGGCGTGGCCCTCAGACAAGTGAACAGCCCTTTTGTCTTTTAATTTTGATAAAGGGAAGCCAGAAAGCTGCAGTAATCCTTTCTCTTTTCCCCTCTTTCTTTTGTATATCTTTATTTCTATTTCTTCTCACTCCCTTTCTGTTTTAAGAAAGACAGAAACTGCTGTACGGCCAACCCAGTCTAATGATTGTGAAGGACAGAACTAGAA